TGCACAGGCTGCTCCCTCTCAGGGCAGAGGCCGGTCCCCTGGCCCCTGGATTTACTGAGGATACTGCTCAAAGGCAAGGACCAAGCAGCAAAGGCAGTGGTTTCTGGGACAAGGGTGGGGGTTGAGAAAAATTACCAGGTAAGATGTTAGCTCTCAGGGGAGGCTGACTGGCCGAGATTTAGACATGGATGACAAGTAGGTTCCACCCCAAAGGCTGACTCACACCTGCTGGCAGGGTGGCCTGAAGTGCAGGTTGGCAGGAACCCAGGACCCAGGCTTAGGAGTGAAAGGCCACGACTGATGCTTGATGTTGTCTACAGGTGAAGGGGGGGAGGGGAGGATGGCAGTCACAGGGGAGATTTGTCATCCCTTTCTTGAGCCTTCTTGTCAAGGGCTCTGGTGGGATAGGTGGGATGTTTGGTTGATGATAGCAGGAGGTTCAGCCAAGTTCTAAACCTGATGCTCAGTACTGTCAACTGGAAGTTGGAACTAGACCGTGGTGCCACAGATGACAGCGGGCAAGCTCAGGCTCAGAATTTCCAACCAGGGGACTGACCATCCACCTCTAGCCTGGACAGGGGCTACTTCCTGTCACTAGTGGGGATGTCTGTTTCTGGAGGAGAGTGAACTCCCCCTGTTCTGTGCCTTCCAAGCTCCAGAAGAGATTTCAGAGTTCTCAAGTGCCATGTGCTAAGTGGTGAGGGTGTCCTCTGGAGGATATCGCTGAGCTCTGGACAGGGCACTCTGGACCTTTGTCAGGCCCCAGCCGCCTTGTGCTCCAGGCCTGATCAACTTGTCACCCTCCCATAGGAGCTGGGCCTTTCCACATGCAGTTTAGCTCCTTCCACCTCTGCCTGCCTGGTGAGACATCTCCCTCACCCACTGTGTCCTAGCTTCTCAGAGGCTGATTCAGCCCTGGCATTGTATTTGGAGCTAAGCAAACACTCTACCACTAGATAAAAGTGTGTTGAGTGATTAAATTCGGATTGACATAGGATGAACTCTAATCCAAGCGAGTCTTGGGAGAGAAATTAGACTTGTGTTCAGAACAACAAGGGGAACTCTGTGTCTGACACAGTGAGGTCGTAGTGTGGTACTTGGCCATAGCGGGGCATGGGGCAGCTGCCTCTCCTAACTTGCAATTAAGAGATTGCTGGTGGAGTGTTCTAGAGAAGTGTTTACTGTAAATAATCACCATAGGTAAGGAAAAATCCTTTGCATGGTTCTGCTGATAAATCCCACCCTAAACAAAATGGTACAATGGAGCCACTTCAATGTTAAGTAGGAATAGCTAATGCCATTGGAAATCAAGAAGAATCCTGTCTTTATCAACTAATAACTGAAACCCACTTCAGAAGCCCATCCACAGTTCTAGAGAAAGTGCTTTTGCTGCAAAGTTTAAAAAATTCAAGTTTTCTAAATTTGAAAGCAGCCGTAAGTCACATTGATTCAACTGCCACTGGGGTTATGAAGTGACTGGCCCCAGCCCCCTCAGTCTTTGGAACAGAAGCCTTGGGATCCTCCTGTGGCTGACATGTGACCTGATTCAACATGAGTATATCCATGCAATCACACACCAGATCTTGTTGGATTGTGTTAGGTAAGGAAACTCTCAGACCACAATTTAGTTGGAAGACCCATCTCTGTGGGTGCCAAATTGGTAAAAACAGACAAACAGACAAACAAAAAGCAGGCAATACCACCTCAAATTAAAATAAGACAGATGGACAAATTCAGAATAGCAAGTGGCCAGGTGCAGAGGCCTTAATAATGCCAGCAACGGTGAAAATATCCAGTTATTATTGCAGATAGTTCAGACCTCCTGTGAGAATCTCATAAACTTTGAGCTATTTTTCTGAGAGTTGATGGATTTATGGCTTACCCACAAGCTGCACCAATCTCCATGGATGCTGGGAAAGCCCACATGAACTGAGGGCTAGGGTGTGGGTGGGGTGGGGAATGGAAAGAAACCAGTATCATTTCCTCAGGGGATCAGTGCCACCGAACACCAGACTCACCAACTAAGAGTATGGTATCACTTTAAAGTAAAAAACTAAAAAAAGTTTCCCAAGAAACATAAACTCCCCTTTGGAACTCTAGTAATGGCCTTTTTGCTGAGGGGAAAGAAAAGTGAGGAAAAAAGGAGATGGAGAAGGAAAGAGAAACTTCTATAGGGACCACTGTTGCTCTGAGGACTCCCGTCCCCCTCTCCCTCCCTTCCTTCCTCTCTCCGTCCTGTCCTTCCTCCAAAAGAAAGGACTGTGAAAGTTTTTTATTTTTAGTTCCTTCTTTTTGTGTCATGAAATGAAGGGGGAAAAATGAGATCATGATGAAGTTGTAATACCTAGGCTTCTCAAGGTAATTCACAGCACCTTTCAATAGTTTGATGTACTGGTGACAGATAAGTAGGCCACGTGTAAGGATTTCAAGTCACTGTCCTAACGTGGAGGAGGACAGGGAGGGTTCTCTCTGAAGGAGCAGGGCTCAGTGAGAGCCTCACATGGACTGCTGGTGAGAGAAACATACCCTATATCCACAAGATCATTTTCTTACAGGTAGATAAGAACAAGTCTCAATTTTATTCACAAATTTTTAAAAAACGTATTACAAAACTATTTGTATAGGATAATTTACAAATTTATAAATTCCAGTATGCAAAATGACAAAATCTAAATTCATTCAAACTATATTAAAGCAATGATTTTTTAATTTTCCTTTGTTAGCACAGACAACAGTGCTTAACCTAAGTAATAGCAACATTAACACTTTACCTAAAGTAGGAAAATTGGTATTTGAAAATATATTCTGTATACACAAAATTAGATGATGCGTGACTGCTTGGTTGGTTTCAAAATCCTAGTCCCCTTCTTGTTGCCTGGCCTCTGCAGTGTGAAAGGCAGCTGGAGGCCCCTGGGCCCGGGGTGCCTCTTGGTGTGGGTTTTCAGACAGTTGCTGAGCTCGGCAGGCCTTCCAGGGAGTTCCAACAAGGTGAACCGCTAATTGGATTTGTTCTTGAGTGTTTACAAAGAGTAAATCAGAACACAATATTGTACATCTCTAGAGTGGGTGGCAGTAATATGTCTCCATGTTGATAAAAATAACGCAGGAGTTTTCAAAAGCAGCATCGAGTGATGTCAATTTTCAATCCTAAGCATTTTCCTACGATCAAAAGTATGTTTCAGGCTTTGGGGTCAAATTCTCACACCCATCCGCCCGGCTTTCTTCAGCAAGTGTCTGTCTTTGAAGCTCACCAGGGCTCAACATGTGGGAAATGCGTTCAGGTTACATAAAGCCACCGAATCCACTGACTGATCACGCCTCTGTCATAGAAAGGCCGTCAGATTGCAAACGGAGGCAGCATATATAAGTTACAGTAAAGCCACTCAGAAACCTGACAGATGTCTTGTGTCACATCCTAAATATTTCACAAGTTCCCCAAAGGCAATTCTCCTAAGAGTTGGTTACTACCAAAGCTTAAGAACCATTGGATTATGCTAAAAAATGAAACAAAAAAGCAAAGGTCAGTCATTTATGACTGGGCACTAGGTAGACATAGATGTAGGTTACCATGGAACACTCTAGTTCTCTTTTTCAGGTAAAGGAATGGAAGTCATGAGAAATAAACGACACAGACATGTCAGAGTCACAAGGAAGAGGGCTCACTAAATTCTACAAGTATCTTGCAAGGAGAGAAAAGCATGGGGATAAGTGAGAAGATGAAAATGTCCAACAAAAGACAGATTAAGTTCAATGCTCGGTATAAATGGCAGGCAAAAACCCTGATTTGGCAGGGCAATTTCAGAGCATGTCTAAGTTCATTCTAGCACATTGGTGTTCAAAGATCTCTTTATTTTTTAAGCATAAATGTGACAGAGCAATAGCAAGCAGTCAAAAGATAGCGGCCAGGTCTGATCATGCAGGTTCAACAGGAAAAAGAAAAAAAAAAAGTCCTGCTGCATGAAGTTCTCTCTGTGGCATGCATTTAAGAGCCAATAAGGTGTCCCCTGCTTTGCACTCAACTGGGTTAATTTCTTTCTTATCCCTAGATCCAATCCCAGTGCATGAACACCCAGGTGGTGTGAGATGGGGCACCTTAACAGAGCACAACTCTCACATCCAGTACAACCAGCTGAAACTGGCGATGAAGTGCGGCAATCTCTCAGGACTTGAGGGAACACCACCACACCGTTATGGACGGTCTCCAGCTCATGATTTTTCTTCTGTTCTCACACGCAGCACATTCTCACTGAAGATACTTCAATCGTAGGACAACCTGCTGTGCTGAAGTTTCTAAAGCCTTTAGTATAAGGTATAATGCAAAGAAAAAAAAATGCCTGATGTAACAAAAGCTTCCATGTGGACTAGCTTTAATGGTTTGTGTGCAGGCCTCTAGGAGGTGTGTGGAGTGAAGGGCCACCCTTCCCAGGCCACACTCCCACATCCTGTAGCTCAGGTGCCCTGCAGGTGCTCCAGCATGTGCTCAGAGGCTAAGTGTAGAAGTGAAAATTCTGGAAGAGAGCTGCTCTCTCCGTTCCTGGTGAGGCCAGGGAAGGTCATCTGATAAGCCCAAGGTTTAAGCAGGTGGTACGAAGCCACTTCTAACCACTGAGGCTAATCAGTTTTAGCTGATGAAAAGTGACTTCAACAGAAACCCTCACCTTTGAGCACATACTACAGAAACACTAAGGCATGGAAACCAACATGGACTTTGAGGAGGATGATGGGCTATTGGAGGTTATTTCTGGAAAGAAAATGTCAATGCAAATTTATACTCTGGGTTGCCACGAGAACCGAGAACGAGCAGGTCCCCTGGTCTGTGATCTTGTCAGTCTTTGAGGTCACTCTTGCAGCCAAAAGCTTCTGGTTCAGGGAAGACTTGCGAGTGTGGCTAGAGCCTGCTCTTGTTTTCAGTGAGGTCTCAGCTTACAGCAGGTCTAGTTCAGAAGCCACTGGTTGAAAGGCTTAAAATGCCATCAGTTTGGTTCAGACTTATTTTTTTCCTCGCAGTAGTCACACAGGGTCCAGACCGCTCAGTCCGTAAGTCTAACACAGGGCTCCCTTTGTGTGCAGGCACACTTCCACAGCAGGAAGAAGATAGTCTTAGGCCTCCTAAAACAGCAACAGAGGAGAGCTTTAAAGATAATACCTTCCCAGTGAAAGCTGCTACTCCCTACCTATACAAAATGATCTTGCGTGCCTATTAGTAGTAATGTCCATGAATGTACTGCCCCGTGGACAAGAAGCCCGTTTGCAGGATTGGATCATCCCAGTACCGATGGCCACTAACAATCAAATAAAGGTTTCCTTAACAATGCAGTCACTCAGTATTTGCCAAGATTACTTAAAAGATGACTATGTAATCCATAGCAATCAAAATGATTTAATAAACAATTCTCTTGCTGATTTTCAACCTCATTCGAACATTTGAAGCTTGTTTCTTCTGTGTTGTGCTCCTTTAAAGTATCTGTGGGTAAAGCTTTTGGGACTCTATCTACTCTTCTTTTAAACAAAGTGTCATTTTTTTTGTTGTTTTGTGGTACTGGGGATTGAACTCAGGAGATCTTGTTAGTGCTCTATCACTTGAGCTGTGCTCCAGCTCTTTAGTTTGCATTTTGTTTTTGAGATTGGGTCTGCTACAGGCTGGCCTCAAACTCGTAATCCTCCTGTTTTTGCTTCCTGATTAGCTGGGATTGCAGGTCTGCATCACCACATCTTTGCAAGTGCAAAGCCCTGAGTTAAACCAGAGTAAAGAGGCTGGCTTCCTTCTCCTAAAAATCTCAGCAAATGATGTCTCACACACCTCTTAGTTCAGATCCCTTGCGCAGAGACATGTGTAGGGAACATTTGAAGAAAATTGAGTCATATGGACAAAAGAAGGCTCTCACACCTCCTTGCTTTATTCTGAACCAGAACTATCAATCATCATCAAATTCTGGGTGGTCTTAAACCACCCAAAAAAAAAAACAAACTAGTGTATAAAAATATACTTTTCAGAAACAAATGCATCATGTGTTAGAAATCACAGCCTCACACCAAATCAAGACCAAAGTTTTGTTGTGGCTTTATCTGCCCCCTTAACAACCTCCAAGCAGGAACACAATGCCTTCCTGAATTCTGAATGAGCCCGTGTAACGGAGTCAAGCTAACTAACCATGAATTCCAGGAATGGACAGAGCTAGCCAGAAGCCTGTGCTTCGGTTTCTAATAGTAGTCTGCAGAAGTGAGAAGGAAATATGTTTTCTGCCTTGGAAGATGAGTCTGAAGAAAGAAATCTGAGTAACAACACTAGCTGAGTTAAACACTTGGCTGTCCCTTGAAGTAAAGAGGAGGGCCAAGCCCACAACAGCTTACCATGGCTGCCACCTCCCACTTTCCTTTGAAGATTAAGGTTTGCTCACTATATTTCACAGGTGGAGTACATGCAACTGGAGAGAAAGTGCTTTTTAGAATATGGAAAGATTATCTCTTAAAATGGTCTCAAAATATTATTTACTATTTTCAGTTGGGGGGGGAATAGAAAAGATTTATATTTTAACAATTCCTTTTCTGAATTCAGAATGTCATACTTAGATTTACTTAAATTAGCTAATAATTATAAGATAACACATTTTGGAAAGTTAATAAAATCCTTGAATTGATAAAATATATTGTGTAATTTGAAAGTAACATTTTCTCCTCAGATTCGTTTTAGATGTAATTACAACTTTTCACAATGATTTGAGTTGAAAATTATCTTTCTGTAGATCGTAATTATCTAAACTGACTTTGAGAAGCAATGAATATGTCTTTACACGGCAATCTTCCATACTAAGATATGTTTCTAAAATCTTACTTTCATATGTAGCTGTGCTAATGAGACAGTAAAAGGATGGCCTCTTCCTGGGTCACCGGGGTGGGATGCAAGCATTGTTAGAATACTAGTTAATACTGTTAAGCCACTGGTAATGTTAATGATAGGCCTTTATACTAAGCGTTCCCTTTAATGTTTATTTTCCCTTTAAATAAGCTCAGATGTAGGGGTTGGGGCCATGTGACTTCCTAATTAGCAGTTGTGAGAGTCTTCGCTGGGGCCCTGGCTGCCTTGAATAAAGGGCTGGCTGGCTTCATAGCAGGCTGCAGGGAGACACCCTCCTGTGCTACCCCAGGTATGGCAACATGAGGCCCAATAAAAGGTTTCTCTCCAGTGGCTTTTTCTTTGTCTAAACATCAGAAGATCGTTATTAGTAGTAGAGTCGGCTGAGTTGGCAACATGAAGACAGGCCAGTAGAAGCAGTGGCAACACGGCAGCATCGACGATAGCAACAGTAATGAGTGGCAGCTGAAAAGATCCAGAGAGTGACTGGGGCAGAAATGATGGGGAGCAGAGGAGACGAAGACAATGGGAGCCATGAAGAGCTGAAGACAAGAAACTGTGGGCCCTGGTCCCTAGAGGAGTTTCCAAGCGCTGCCAAGCTTTAAGGATGTCAGGGCCAAAGGTCCCAAACACCATAGGTCCAAAGCTATAATACTAGCAGCTGTCAGGGGCAGGGGGTCCTGACATCCCAGACCTGAGAACATAACACTTGTTGGTCCTAGCACCTGAGTCCTGTAGCGCTGCCAGGCATGGCCTGCTGCTGCTGCTGCTGCTGTCTGCTGCTGCTGCTCACTGCTGCTTACTGCTGCTCACTGCCGCTGGAAGCTGAGGATTACCAGCTGCCAAATGCCGAAGTCACTGCTGGTTAAAGGCATAACAATGAGCCTCCACCTGAGTGTACAGCCCTAAGTCTCTGGCTTCTAAGGCTTGCAGTAACAGGCTCCCAGCTCTCTGGGTTTGCCTCTGGGTTGCCAGTCTGGCCCCTAGGCGTTGGGCACTCAGGGACCCGGGCTTGCCAGCACTGAAAGAGCGTCTACCTATGATTCCTATCTGGGTAGAGCAAAAGGCCTGGTCAGCTGATTGGTAACATTAACAGTGGTTATGCCAGCAGCATAAACAGAAACAGGTGGACAATGAGTTGGTTCTGAGGTGACTTTGTGTCCAGATGTTTCATTCCTCAGGCTCAGCAATTTACATTGTGAACTTGGGGACAAGAAATTGAGGTAAATGGTAACTCTGTTCATTCACAGGACTCTGAAAGACTCATTCGTCAGCTTGTAGCAGTTATCCTTATTACTCAGTCTTTTCCCTGCTGAGGCGTTGCAGGATTCAGTGGGTCTGAATAACTCATTTGCGGGACGTCCACCCTGTTTTCTGCACCCTCCCATTTCCTAAGTGAAGCCCAGCCTGGATGCAAGTTTGTTACCTGCTGGAGATGGCTGTCCCTTCTCAACCCTGGAAGTTTTGTGGTTTACAGTCCATTCTTGATTGAGCTTTATGCTCACTTAGGGGAATTCTTAAGTCTTATTTCTCATCATGAAAGTTACACAAGATCAGTAAACAACTTTCTTAGCTACAGAGCTCAGAAGTACGCAGATTATACGTTTTTAACTGCCTCATTCGTTTGCTTTTCCTTTCTTCATTGATATCTCCTCTATTTCCCCCATTGTGAGACCAAAACCAACATTTTCCTCCAAACACAATGAAGATTTTCTCTATAGAATTCTCTAGAAAATTTCTTTGTAGTTTAAAAGAGAAAACAAGTGTGGCAGATTTAGAAAAACATGTAACCTATGCACTGATAATCAAAGCAGCACATCAGAACCAAGCTTTGACTTTAGCTAAGTGCCTGATACAATTCAGCAAGTATGCAAGGTCTCCTCAAAGTCCAGACTCCACCTGGGGCACAGGTGGTGTTTTTGGCACTTGCTCTGCTGGTACTCATGGAGCAGCAAGGGCCCAGCAGCCAGAGGAGGCAGGCTGTCTGTGTAGGGACAGGGCCTGTGGGCCCATAGCTCAGACTGCCCTTTTCTACTCAAGGCTGACCTCATTCTACAGCTTATATTAACAGTGCATGCTCTTCTACCTGGGGAAATGTTCACAGGCAGTAAGGCAAATTCAGCGAGACCACATCATCACCTGGAGAAGAAAGCAGAGAAAGTGCCTGGTCTCCCTGAATTTTGCTTGCCTACCTCTTTGTAGCCCCAACCTCTGTGCACTTGCCACCCCTTCCCTTCTTCCCTACCCCTGTATCTGATTTTAACCCCTTCTACCTAGGAGGGTCTTTTGATGTATTTGAGTCCAGATCACAACCACCAATCAATTTCTAACTAAATCAATCAATTAGTCAAAGCCCAGCAATCAGAAAACATTAGTAAAAGAGTGAGAAGGGAAGGGAGTCATTTTAGAACTAAATTAGAAACAACTTGTCAGTGTGAAGTGCACTGAAGTATTGAGCATACAAATGTCATACGACACAAATGAAGATCAGAAGCTGTTTGCAAAGTGCCCCCATACCCAGCTCATCCATCAGGGAAGGAGGCCATGCTACACGGGCAGAGCTAGGAAGAGAGAAGAAGGGCACTGCTACCCCTCACGGTCTTAGAGAACAGCTCTGTTCATTTTTAAAGACTCTTGAAATTTATTTTAAAACACATTCTTCTGCAATGGACAAGAAATTAAAAAAGATGGAAAAACCTTAATGGGTTCCCCCAAATTTCATGGTGGGAACAGAGTTTGAATGCCCCTGGTCTGCCCAAAGTCAATGCCATGCTCACTGAAACCCGTCGTCATCTTACCTGTAGGGAGGTGGGAGTGGTTAGGTGTGTGGTGTTGCTGGCCTCACAACCTAGCTGGCTTCGAGCAGCATCCTGGGCTGGTGTTGGTTCTGTCACTGAGTCATGGTATCTGGATGAACCGGTGGTTTCTGTGAAGGTTCCAGAATGAGCTTGAACTGGAACAGCTCCACCAACCACATCTTGACCACTGCCTGAATCCAAAGATGTCGATGTTGAGCTTTCATTTTCTGGATTCTCAGAACCATCTTCTTCAGTAATTTCATGATGAGTGTCACAAAAAGAGATGTCGTCACTACCCGTGGGATTTCGCATCAGTGGCCAGGCATCGGAAAACTCACCACACATGGACCGGGAAAGGGACCCAAAGAAAGTTGGCATTGTCTCCCCCACTGGAGCTGTGTGTCTGAAGATATTAAAGAGATCTTTCACTATCTTCAAAGCATCATTTCAGTGATAGTCTCAAGTCTTAGCAAGCCAGCATTCTAATGCTTCCTCCATACAGTGAGTCAAACTGTTCCACTTACTTCAAAGCTGACTTTCTACATCTCTTTCTACTTGACATAGGTATACCCGACTTCTGACACATGCAGTTTCTTAGTTCCTTGAATGCTGTTTTAAAATATTAAGATAGTAGTCACCAGTACATGATATGTTAAATGTTCTTACAGACAACAAAACTAAAACCAGTGGGAAGTGTGAAGAATGTTGACTTGGAAATTAGCAACCTTGAGAGGCCTACCCAACTCTTGCCGAGGGTCGCTCCTGCCCAGTTCCTGGAGTGTCATTAATAATATGTAAAAAGTGATGTCCCTATGGTTCACAAGAAAGCTGATATTTGGGGAGAAGGCCCATTTGCACACAGAATATGAAATGGCTCACGAGAAGTGCCCAGTTACCTCTCCTGATGGTTGACCGTAGAATGTGCCCCACAGCCAAGTGCCGCCCGAGTGGTGCCACAGGCCTCATCACAGCACAAGGATGGGATCAGGTGAACAGGCCCTGCGGAAGCCAGTGAAACACAGTGATCTTCTCTGGAACTTTCTTTTTAATACCAGTTCAATGTTGTTATTTTGGTGAATTTAATGCTCTCCCTCAGGTATTGTTTTAGGGTAAGGGAGACCTAACATTCATTTTTTCCTTATCTTAGAAAGCTAATGGGCCACATCTGTGAGGTCCCTGAGTATAAACTCTCAGAGACAGAGGTGGGATGGGGACTTCCAGGGCCATGGAGTGGGGAAGGGGACAGAATGTCAGTCTGGGATGAGGAAGAGTCCTGGAGAGGGAAGGTGGTGATGGGTTCCTTGAAACAAGACTGTGCTTCCTGCCAGTGAACTGGGCATTTGAAATGGGTAGGAATATGGGTGGTGTGTTGTGTGTGCTGTACCATGATAAAAAATGGTGAACGGTAATGATGCCATCTGTAAGAGGGCATGTGAGGGGCCTCTGGCACACTGAAGACAGGAAAAATAGCATGATTTTTCTGTCAATGGTCTGGTGATATGGAGAAGAGCATTAAAATGTCCCAGGCCTTTACTTTAACATACACACACACACACACACACACACACACCACTGTTATATTGCTAGGAGTGTAACTTAGGGAGCAAGTGGATATATACACCCAGCTTTACAAATCACTGTGGTCACCGAATCAGTATACATCTTTGGTTACAAAGGTAATAGAAACTTACTGAAGGGAAAAATATTAAAAAATTAAGAGAAAGAATAGAAGTAAGTCTTACCCAAACCTATGAACTGGAAACAAACATCCATAACACTTGATGAATGGTCTTCCAGATTTCTGTATACACATATTCTGATGTTTCATAAAATTATAAATACACAAAAGCACACAAACAAATACAAAGACATACATATGTGTATAGAGAAAAGTGAAGAAATGATGTATCTATATATGTGTGTGTGTCCAACTTTCTATGAGGAATAGCTCTTTACTTTTATAACCAGGAAAAATACTATGAAACAAATATCTCCTTTTCAAAAAACGAATGTCAAATACAGAGATGCAACTTCAAACAAGTGCCGAGGACAGCCACCCGGCAAGCCACCATCTCAATCTGCCAGAGCAAGCCTCCATCTTGTGCCATCTGAACACACCATGGGGTCCGGGAACTATGACCCTGGTGACTTTGTGTGGATCTACTGTCAATTAACTCAACAAATATGTCATGCTTGCTTAAAGACATTTCAAAATTATTTAAAAGCAAAAGGTGGTACCATTCCTTGGAAATGGCTGATTCTAGAGAAAATGCAAGATGAGCCAGAAGGTAAAAGGTGCTAACAGACTGAGGGAAGGAGATGTGTCAGTAATGGCACACAAGCCTGTCTGAGGGACTTCCACTGGCCACACCTAGGAGAATATGAGCATCAAAATAAAAGATGATGCCAAAGGATTATAATTCATCAAATAGGGACTGTGAATAAACACTAATTGAGAAAATTAAGAAGGGAAATTTCCATCTTGCTATAGGAAGCCAAGAAGTGACGGTGGAGAGAGTAACAGAATTAAAAACCAGCCTTTGTTAACCATCACAATAACACTGACTCAGGCAGGACTGTCAGAGTTGCTGAACCACTGAGCGAAAGTTTGGAGAGTAACTGGACATTTTAGAGTCCCAGAGTATCTCTCCACAAGGGAGTCATTAATTATGAAGAGAACAACGACTTCACAGTGCAGAGGCTACTAAGTGGCCTGGGAAGACACAGTGTACAGAGAAGGACACAGTACCCTCTCTGCAGTATTTCTGAATCTGACCCTCAGAAAGCTGATGGTTAACCTGCAAAGTTACTACCTGTGCTTTTCAAAAACATCAGTGTCACGAAACACCAAGAAATATTAAGGAAGAATCCCACAGTAATAGAGATCAACAAGACTTGCCAACTAAATGCAGCAGTGTTATCTGGGATTTTCTTTGCAATGAAAGGTATCTGAGGATAAATGATAAACTCTGAATATGGCCTGTAGGTTAGTGTGTGATTGTTCCATGAGAGAATGGTCTTGTTCTCAGGAAACAGGCCTGACATGTTAAGGGGTGAAGAAACACCATATCTGCCACCAAGTTTCAAGTGGCAAATGAAAGCAGTGTGTGTGTGTGTGAGAGAGAGAGAGAGAGAGAGAGAGAAGAGAGAGAGAGAGAGAGAGAGAGAGAATGAAGCATGTGAGGTCAAATATTAATATTTTTTATTTTGGGTAAAGGATAAGTGGAAATTCTTTTTCCTACTCTTTCAACATTTTGGCAGTCTGAAGTTATACTAAGATAAAATGCTGAAAGAGAAAAGGCAACACAGTTCAGGAGGAAGTGCTTGAGAAGACAGGCTGTCCTGTACCTGGGCACTCATGGGGACCCCCTCCAACAGGGCATGTGCTCTTGAGGAGAACATATAGTATGGCCAGGTGGAGAACTAACCTGTCTTTTCAGAGTGAAGTTAAGATGAGGGAAATTATACAAGGCTGTGTTTTATTACATTTAAAACTAGAGTTCATCTCTCAAGAAATGATCTCCACTTCTTCTGCCTCTAGTGGCAGAGTGTGGGAAGAAACATGCTTAGGAGTGTTTGGGGGTCACAGTTACTGTCATGAGCTGTCAGCTCGGTCTGTCATCTTCAGGCAAAGGCAACCCTAGGTGCACACACACACCAGAAAGCCTTGTACTTTGCTCTTAACCCATTTCCAAAACAGAGATAATAGAGATCAGTAGGAAAAGAATCAGGTTGAAAGCTTTGAATACCTCGCATGCAATATGACATGGAAACACATCATCCTACAACTTTTTGAAAAGAAGGATTGGGTGGTTCCAACTTAAATGGGATGTGGTTAAGTTAAAGCAGATAAGGAATGTCTCTGAGGGATGACACAGGGCTGTCGGCCTCACCTGTGGTGTGAGAGAAACTGCAGAGTGATAGAGAGGTACTGGGCTGACTGTAGGCAGGCTGGGCTGTCAGCCATGCAGGGTTTAACTTTCAGAGAAGGTCATCTGGCAGGGAATGGAGTGGGACATGTGGTATGAACACTTCGTGTTGGTGAATGTGAGTGAAGTGGCAAAGAAAGTCCCATCACCTTTGCCCATATTTGCCCAAGTCAGAGACCAGTTTCCATTCAAATTAGTTTCCTAAATGGTCACTTCTGTCAAGAATCCAAAAAGCAATTAAGGTTTGTGGAAAACCCTGACAAGGATCTCTCTCCTTCTTCTTCTTCACAAAATCAAAGAAGATATTGAAACAGACACATTAATGTTCTGTTCGAATGGCCAGGCCACGCAGGGAGACACAGCCTACTGCCATGGGGTAACACGATTTTAAATCAAACTGACTCAACACAAGAAAGCAAACTTGCCTACAAAGTTGCTGAAGAATTCTAGAGTTTTCATGAGATGCATCTTTCTTTTTAAAACAGAGGAGCCTTGATGCAGCCAATCCCTCAGGAGACAGAGGAGAATGATTTTACGAGACTAGCTGTAAGTCAAAGTATGCCCACAACCCATGTGAGGTGAACTCTGGCAGTTCTTTGCAGCTTCCCTTCTGCCCTGCCTTGGTCCGTCTGGTGGCCTGGCAGGGCTGAACTCACCGTAGGTCTGGGCTGAGTCCTGGTGGCACTGACAACATGCTCTATGCACATAGCCACTGAGCCGAGGTCTGTCAAAGCATGACAGTTCAGAGCCGTTGTACTGAATGTCCTGTGACCGCAGAGACCCTACAGGATGGAAGGAGAGAATTCTGTCGTGAACACAACTTCCCCTCTAAGAAGCCCATTCACATAAAAATGCAGATTGCTACCATTCTAGCTTTTGTGTTCTTAAAGAAAAAGTCAGCTTTCTTTACAATTTTTGTTCATAGGTGATGTTCCTTGACTTATGACAAGGTAGCATCCTGATAACTCCTTGTAACTTGAAGATAATTCTAAGTTGAAAATGCATTTAATCCACCGAATCTACCAAACACCCTAGCATGGCCTGGCTAACCTCACATGTGCTCACAGCACTCCCCTCAGCCTACAGTCAGGAAAAGCACGGGGTACCAGGCATGTTTTATACTACTGCGTAATCGACTGAACGCTATACTAAACATGAGAAACTGAACGACAGTGCGGGGACACTGCCCATCATTTTAAGGCTGACAAACTGTTCAGTGGAACAGCGGTAAAAGGTGAGGACTGCCTGTATTTCCCACAAGGAGGCACAGATACAAAACAATTGTTCTTAGAATAATTAAGGAGCTCAGAATGTAGGGTAGTAAAGTTGCCAGGTCTCAGAACAATTTGCATTTCTGCCTCATGGCATGGGAGCATCACAGCCTTGCCAGCGTCCCCATGAAGCCGTGCCATGGGACTATGTTTGTGCCCTCTTGACAGTCTTAGCCTCATCTCTTGTGAACGCTTAAATGACAAGGTAACAAGCAGACATCATCAAAAATTAAGAAAACAGAAGGAGCTGGGAACTCACAGCTGGGCTTCTTTTCCATGAACTGTCTCTTACAGTAGATGACACACAAGATGAGGAGGGCCAGCAGTACGGTGGCCAGAGCACTGCAGATGACGGCAGCCAGGGCTGTGTCCCGAGGGCTGGAGGCAGTGGATGCGATCTTCACAAGGTTGACCTTGCTGGTACCTGAAAGGCACAGGAATGTGGTCACAATGCTCCTGGCACCCCCAAAGTTGCCATGCTTCCACTGAAGCTGGTAACACTGTCAGAAGCTGGTGGCACCATCAGCGACAGCCTTCATGCAACAAAAATAAAGCCAGAGAAAAGTAGCATGATGGGTTTTAAAATGTTCCAGTGCTCTCTTTCCAGAGGCTTTTTTTAAAACACCACATCTCTACCTTGTACCCCACAATGTGTTGTGTGTGCTCCCCCTCTGTTCCCACAGCCCTTAATGCATGTATGCCGGAACCCTGTCCACCAGAGTAAAAAGCTGAGGCCGCCTCATCTCTGTCTCCACACCATCTGACAGTGCTGGGTGAAGAGGACCTCCCCTCTGGGCTCTGAAGGTTCGCTGACAGGAGCTGACAATAGATAGATTTGCAGGGGAAAAGGGCAGACAAGCTCATCTACCCAGCCAGGAAAGTGAGATGGAAGGTAGGCTATTTTTGAGGGGTAGCAAATGATTCTTGGGGGAAATGAATGTGCCAAAAGCCCAGGCAGTGGTTTGTAAATGATTCCTGGAAACTGTATGGGACAAAGAGTAGATGTGCCTTGTGAAAAAGGCCTGCCACTTGTCCTGTGATGTCTCTGGTTAACAAAATCTCAGGACAGTGTCTAAGTAACTGTGCTCCCGTTAGGTGGATCCGATCTCCAGGTGGACAAAGGAACTCCAGAGAAAAGCTTTTTCCAGCATCTGCTGGCCCTCAGGGTCTTCCATTTAAAATAACCTGCAGAGCAGGCACCACAGTTTGGGGTGATGTTCTGAAGGAAACCGCACTCCTTCAGTAGGCAGTTTCTATTTCCTTTCTTTGTCTTTGATGCTGGGGATGGACCCCAGGGCCTCGCATGTGCAGGCAAGTGCTCTAACATTGAGCTACATCCCTGCCCAGTATTTCTTATTTAATTGGGATCAGACTGTCTGTATCTTTATGCAGACTGCACTACAGCATGCTATGGAAGGGCAACTTTAGGAGAAAATAAAGAGCTGGATGATTCACAGCCTTACAGTAGCAGGCCCTTGATTCTTGAGACAGAAACATTTGCTTTAGCTGCTGGTTTACGTAAGAGTGTCTATGTTAGGCTGAAGCACTGCTCTGGGTGGCACACAAGGCAGCACATAAAGAAAGTCAAGATGCAAGGCCCTTTCATCTTGTGGTGCTGCTCTGTGGTCAAGGGCAGATCCTAGGGGCCCAGAGCCTGGGCCAACATCAAATGTAGGACTTTGAGCCAGGGACATGGTGTCTCTGAGTCTCAGGCTGAAATCAGCTGAAGTGAATTGGCAACAGTACGGTCTCATCCAGCTGTTTAGAGGAGTGAATGAGTCAGCATGGAAAGTCTTCAGGATGGGCCTAAGTGCACTTAGTGCTGGAGGATCATGAGCTACTGTGATGATGGTGGTGGTGATGATGATGGTGGTGGTGGTGGTAGTGATGGGGATGATAGTCAGCACTGGAATCATCCGGATGAACAAACCTATGTAAATCAGAAACCTGATTTAAATCAGTGGAGCATAGTATATCCTATTCAACTTAGCCCAAATGAATCAGAAAAAAAAAAAAAAGAAAAAAAATGGAATTTGAGAGAGGAGTAAAGTCTAAATAGAGGGGCAATTAGGCTATTTCCTGAGTGAGCTGAGGTGGGTCTTGCTGTTTTCCCCTTCAGCCACCCCCAGGTCTTTGCTGCCACTCCAGGCCTCTCACAGAAGGAGACCCCAGACCAGCGAGCCCAGCGGAGGTTCACTGCGTGCTTCACACAAACTTGACATTGTCTAGAAACCACATTAAATAAGAAGAAATAGGTAATGTAAAATCAACTTTATCTATTTTACTTAACCAATACCTCCTAAAATAATGAATATTTATTTATTTATTTTTTATTATTCATATGTGCATACAAGGCTTGGGTCATTTCTCCCCCCTGCCCCCACCCCCTCCCTTACCACCCACTCCGCCCCCTCTCTCTCCCCCACACCTCCTCAATACCTGGCAGAAACTATTTTGCCCTTATCTCTAATTTTGTTGAAGAGAGAGTATAAGCAATAATAGGAAGGAACAAGTGTTTTTGCTAGTTGAGATAAGGATAGCTATTCAGGGAGTTGACTCACATTGATTTCCTGTGCATGTGTGTTACCTTCTAGGTTAATTCTTTTTGACCTAACCTTTCCTCTAGTTTCTGGTCCCCTTCTCCTATTGGCCTCAGTTGCTTTTAAGGTATCTGCTTTAGTTTCTCTGTGTTGAGGGCAACAAATGCTAGCTAATTTTTTAGGTGTCTTACCTATCCTTGTATCTCCCTTGTGTGTACTCGCTTTTATTGTGATCAAAGTCAATCCCCTTGGGTTGTTTTGCCCGAATCTAGTGTCCACAATGAGGGAGAACATACGATTTTGGTTTTTGGCCGGCTACATCATTCAGAATGAATGTTCTCCCAATTCCATCCATTTACCAGCGAATGATAACATTCGTTCTTCTTCATGGTGCCATAAAATTCCATTGTTGATAGTACCACATTTTCTGAGCCATTTGTCAGCAGTGGGGATCTTGGCTGTTGTGAATAGTGCTGCATAACTATGGTGGAGGTTTGCCTCGGGTAACTATGTCCAGTCTTTTGGTATATCCCCAGGCAGTGTATTACTGGATCAAATGGTAGATCATGTTTAGTAGCCTCCAAATTTTTTTCCAGGGTGGTTGTACTAGTTAACTTCCCACCAACAGTGTAAGAGGGTTCCTTTTTTCCCCGCATCCTGGCCAACACCTGTTGTGTTGGTGTTGCTAATGATGGCTATTTAACAGGGGTGAGGTGGATCTTAGTGTGTTTAATTGATTCCTTTTATTGCTAGAGATGTGAGCAATTTTTTTCACGGTTTTGCCATTTGAGTTTTTTCTTTGAGAAGTTCTGTTTAGTTTACTTGCCATTTGCTTTATGTTCATTAGTTTGGAGAATTTAGTTTTTAAGTTCCCTATATATTCTGGTTATCAGTCCTTTGATGTATAGCTGGCGTAAGTATTTTCTCCCACTTGTGGGTGTTCTCTTCAGCTTAGAGACCATGTCTTTTTGATGAACAGAGTTTTTTAGTTTTATGATGGTCCATTTATCTATGCTGGTCTCTTAGTTGCTGTGCTGCTGGGGTTTCATTAGACAAGTTCGTACCTATACCTACTAACCCAGAGTATTTCCTACTCTTCCGTGTATCAACTTTAGATTTGTGGTCTGATATTAAGATCCTTGATAACATTTTGAGTTAATATTCGTATTTAGAGTGTATACATGGATCTGTTTCAGTTTTTTTGCAGACGGCTAACCAGTTTCCCCAGCAGTTTTTGTTGAAGAGGCTGCTTTTTCTCCATCGTATATTTTTAGCTCCTTTGTCAAAGACCAAGTTGCGTTATAGGGTGTGACTTCATATCTGGGTCCTCTGTTCTGTTCCACTGGTCTTCATGTCTGTTTTTGTGCCAGTACCATGCTGTTTTATTGTTATTGCTTTTAGTATAGTTTGAAGTCAGTATCGCGATACCTCCAGCATTGTTCTTTTGACTGGTATTGCCTTGGCTATTCGTAGCCTCTTGTGTGTCCATAATAATTTAACGGTAGGATTTTTAACTCTTATGCGACTGTCATTTCGATTTGTGGGAATTGCTTAACATGTAGATTACTTTTGGGAGTATCGACATTTTTACTATGTTGATTCTACCAATCCATGAATACTGCATATTTAATATAAAAATTATGAATGATGCACTTTGCATTCTCTATTTTAGTTTCAAAATTTCAAAAGTCAGTATGATTTTATAGGGATAACCCATTTTGAGTTAAACCAGTCACAGTTCAACGGCTCAGTAATCACATGTGGCTAACGGCCGCTGTGATGGCTGTGAAGACTCTGCAGACTAGGGTTTCAGATCTGCATTTGTGCAACCTGGTGTCTCAATGCAAGACAGCTGGTCATCTGGTGCCTTTTTCCTTGTCCTTGGCTACACAGCCCTCCTCCCCTAATTAGCCCCATGTCTACAGCATGACATATGCAGCTAGAGGCAGACAGAAGTGTTCAGGTTCATGTTACTGAATTGAAGAACAGGACTGCTGTATCTATCACATTGGGGCATGAGTCGGTCCTGGTATTTCTGGTCTTGATGGGTACTGTGTGACACACACACACAAAAGCTTCTTCAATGAGTTGTATGCCCTGGGCTTAGATTAACAGGGGTCGCAGTTCAATTGTACATTTTATGGGACATTTATTGGTAGTACGTGTTTAGTATATATAAAATACTTTTATCACCCAGAGTTGTATGCAAATGGTATCAAAATCAAACAGGACATATAGATGTTCATCATGCAGCAAGTCAAACAAATGCCTTGACCTGACAGAGATTAAATCTAAGTCTGGAGCAGCCTCTATCAGTCACATAGGGCTGCTGGATCTCAGGCCAGCTGTGCAAACACTGACAGATGAGAGGCAAGCTGGAGCCGTGTCCCTGGCGGCCACACTGGAGGGGAAGTGACTTGGAAACGGAAGCATTATCTATTTGGGCCAAAAGGTGAGCTCGTGGAAACTGGCATCTCACTGACATTTTTTCATTTCAGAGTGAGGGAAGTTTCCTTGGCTTAAGCTGTTGGTCAGATAAGCTGTCACCAAAACCAAGCATCACAAGGGATATGAACTGAAGATTCTCCATTCCGAGGTTGTAACTGCTAAGATCAGAATTGATACAACCCTGAATGTCCAGAAAAACCCTCTGAAGAAGAGGATTGAAGAATCCTTTAAATTCTCATTGTTTAAAGTCTCTCCAAAATGTATTAGTCCACTAACAGCATTAGCATAAACCTGTAAATGGATTAAGATGTCCCCAAAATGAATAATTCATTTTGTATTTGTGATTTACAACTCAGGATTTATTTTCTCTAAATATTGAAGTCTCCATAATACATGTCTTTCCAAGGTGGGCACTAATGCTTTAATTTCAACGACATAAAGTAGTCATATTTAAGACATATGTAAACGTGTACATAAAACCATATGCCATTTATTTTACTTTGAATTCAATCAAAGCTAAAATAACTTCCTAATTTAGCTTAAGGTCAATTTGATATACATTTAACAATCACTATTACCATGTGTTCTGATAAGTTATGCCCTTATCAGTAAGAATTTTCTTGTCTTGAATACATATATGCATGGACATGTCACAAGGAAACTCCCTGTATAGCTATCTTAAACAAACAAAAATGTCATTTTTTTCTTTTACAAAATCAGAGAATGGGGGGGTGGGGGGAAGAACGGGTGCCATCTGGGGGGTTGGAACCAGTGGGAGGAGGGAAGATAGTGGAAATGGTGTAGGAGGCTGAATATGGTGCAGTTTTAAAGAAAGTGCATCGAGCATGCTCCTTCTCTATTTCAATGCAGACAGAAAGCTGGAGCTAGGGAGGTTGGCGGAGTATCACTTGATTTTTTTTTTTTATAACAGTTCCAAAAACTCATTTGCAGAAAGTTCTTGGTTTAAGAAGTCTATTTTCTTTGAACTTAAGCAATGAAAACAAAAGGGCGGGGGAGTGGATAGGTTTGTATGAAATGGCTTCTGCTCTGTTAAGTTTTGGTTAACTGAGAAGCAGTGAGAATTCTTCAGAAAGGGAGAAGAAACTATCTGGAAAACAAACTAAACACAAAAGGACTGGGGGAGTGGCTCAAGTGGTAGAGTGCAAGCTGGAGGCCTTGAGTTCAAACCCTGGTACTGCTAAGAAAGATGCATTCTACCGCTTATCTGGACTGAATCTTCCCATTCAGTTCCCTAAGCACATTGAATGCCTGCAAGGGATTTTGCCCAAACTTATCAGGATTCTCACAGTACTTCTGAAAGACCAGAATAGAAATGCCAATTTCAGAAACTTTTACCTTTTCCTAATACAAAGGCATCTCTGATTTGAACCAATGAAGCTATTAAATTCTGAGCATGCCTTCTGACAATTCCCTTGGAGCAAACTGCTTCTTTAGCTTAAATTTTAAACTATGTGACAAACATTCCATAGGCTAGGTTTTCTATTATGCATCTATCTCTTCAGGAGTTCATCTCGACAGAACAATTGCTTGCGAAGTATCCAGGGTGTGTAAGACATTGTACAAGGCATTAAGGTAAACTGAAGGAGGATCGACTTCTACGGAACACAAGGACACCAAGATCACCAGCAAGAGTTTTTACGAAGTTTGACTGGACCCTCTTTGGAGTGTGACCAAGGTACAGAAATCCACACTCTGTCCTTACCCTTCACCCTTTAGAGAGCTATGGAACCGTAGCTGGAGAGACAGGAGACATGCTGGAGAGACTGTCCCTGGACAGCCCAGAAGCTATAAATCAGGAGCCATTTGCATGGGGACACTAGCTGCCTTAGACACGTGTGCACTGCTGACACCATTCATGATGGCGTCCTCCTAACTAGGTAAACTGGCGAAGTCCACTGTTAGGTAAACAGACTAAAGGAAACAACTGAGCATTCATATCATTTTTATCAAATTAGGCAGGCTAGCTTTTCATGTCCACACAAGCCCGAGGGAGGGAGAACACAAGATCCCCCAGAGAGCCTGGCCCAGGTCACCCTCAACCCCACAGCACCCCATACCCAACACCCACAGAACCCCATGCCCAACACCACGCAGCACCCATGTCCGACATCGGGGCAGCCCATATGTCTGTCTGTCTTACCGGGCATCACAGGCATGCTGCCCTGTGATGGTTATGCATGAGGAAGCCCAACTTTGACCACAGATGGCATTTCATCTCAACCATTCGGCCATTAGGTGGGTGGATCTAGACTTAAGCCCAGGTTTACATGACTCTAAAACTTAGGCTTTCTTTTGTTTTACATTTTGCTATGTTCTTTCTAACCATTTAGAGTGATATACACATATATTTACAGACAATATAGATATATTTATCTATAATGCAGAGTGGAGGATTACTGACTCAAGTTTTATACAGGCAGAGTAAGCTTTACCTAATGGTCTTGCATACACAGTATGGCTTGATCAAGCCATAGATTCAACCTGCTTCATCCTTGAGCTTGACGAGGCGACCGTATTATATTGTACTGACAAACAACATGTAACTCTTACACCTTAATAAGGTGTTATGTTTAAAGTCTACATGATGTAACTAGATGAGTGCTGAGTGAATACTGGAGAGCAGAACAAGTTGCAAATGAATTTGTGATGCTTTCTGTCTAGGCTCCCATTTTTCAGGTCCCACTAAGGCCTGGCACATCACGGAGAGCTCAGCACATGAGAAGCTCACACCGGGATTCCTGCAGGATGGCACCGCACTATGAAAGCAACTTAACTGGAAATGTATGTGCGAACTGTTACCTGATGGTGACTGTTTTGGCACACATAATTCAATTAACAGCCAGTTCTGGAATATAAGCATACAATGTGGAACTTAACAACATTTCTCACTACAGTGGTTATCTCTTGACTTTTAAGTATGATTCAAGGAAACTGCCTTTCAATCCATCCCTTTTTCTGTGCTCATCCATCATCACCACCACAAACCCCAAACTGAATAGAGGTTTAACAAAATTAAATCCTGACAGTGAATCTATTTCTAGCTGGGCTCTTTAATTTAAAAAAAGCACTAACAAAGAGTTCTGTACAATCTTCGGTGAGGCAGGGCCACAGTCCTGGAGTGTAGACTTTATCCTGTTCATCTAAACTGGTTAAACAAAAATGTGGATGGTAACATTCAACATATGAATTCCAGATGCCACGAAAGTGGTGCCAGTAATCAACATGGTCACCTTTCTTATCCACTTGATTTCCAGGCACTCAGCCCGGATGAGGTGAAAGAGAAAGCCTTTCTTCATCATTTGCACTTTCTTCACTGTAGACCTTGGTCTTCATGGTTTTTCAGCAACTGACAGAAATGCTATTTCAAAAAGAGATTTTCTTGTTTCTTCTTCTACCTACAGCCTTATTTATATCTAAAATTTTTGACTGATTTCCTTATTGTGGCAAAATATACTTAATATTTACCATTAGAGACAATGTTGTTGCCAATCACCACTAATTCCAAAACATTTTCCTCACTCACAAAACCCCATGTTCTAAGCAGTAACTCCTCCCCTACCCCCGACCCTGACAAGCATTAATTTACTTTCTGTCTCTATGGATTTGCCTATTCTCATATTTCATATAAATAATGATCCAATATTATGTGGCCTTTGTGTCTGGCTTCAGTCACTTGACAATGTTTTAGGATTGATCCACAGTGTATTAGAACTCTCTTTCCTTTTATGGCTAAATAATATTTCATTGAATGGATATACCACATTTTGTTTACCTAAAACGGACCGACAGCTCCCTGGAACAAATGGAGTCCATCACATACTGCAAGGGCACTGATGGGCTCGAGACTGTGGTGATATGGGATGGAGGTTATTTAAGTTTGGTTTATTTACTTATTTATTCATTTATTTTTGGCAATACTGGGGTGTGAACTCAGAGACTTGTACTCTAGGCGAGGTGTGCTGTCATTTGAGCCATTCCTTCAGTTCTTTTTGCTTTAGTTATTTTTCAAATAGGCCCTCACATTTTGGTGCAGGGTCAGCCTCAGATCTCAATCCTCCTGTGTCTGCCTCTATTGTAGCTAGGATTACAGATGCACACCACTACACTCAGCTTGTTCTTATACATAGGGTCTTGCTAATCTTATGCCAGGGCTGGTCTCCAAAAGCAGTTTTCCTATCTCTACTGCCCAATTAGCTCAGCTTACAGGTGTGAGCCACCACGCCCAGCCTGAAGTTGTATTTTTAATTGACATATTTATGGGGGACAAGGTGATGTTTCGATACATGTGTACATTGTATAATGTTCAAATCTGTCATCTCAAACTCTTACCATTTCTTTATAATAAGAACATTAAAGTCCTCTTTCTAGGTATTTTGTAAACTAAAAATAAATTACCATGTGACCCAGAAATCCCACTACTGGGAATATTCCTAAGGAAGTGACGATATGTGGGAGACATCTGCACCCCCAGGTTCACTGTGGCCCTGTTCACAACCACCAAGACATGGCATGTCTTGGTGTCCATCAACACATGGATGGGTGAAGAAAATGTGGCATATAGACACAGTGGAATACTAGGCGGTTGTATAAAAGAAGGAAATCTTGTCATTTTTGGTAGCACCAATGAACTGAGAAGACATTACAGCGTGTGGAATAAGCCAGGTGTTGCATGGTCTCACTCTTAAGGAATCTAAAACAGTTGATCCCATGGAAGCAGAAAGTAGTATGGTGGTTAGTTACCAGAGCTGGGAGAGCACAAGGTCGCTCTCCCAGCGACAGGAAGAATGGGCGCCAGAGTTCTATTATAGGTAAGAATGACGCTGTGTAGGCATTGCAACCTACTCTTGTCACAAATAGCCCAATCTCAGCCAATCACAGTGGCCAACTGTTCAAAGCAAGTTCAAAAAAGACTGTAACGAGTACTCAACTGTTGGCCCCTTCCCCTACTTGGGGCCAGGAGTTCACTGTAAGCAGGAGAAAAGCTTGGCACCCTGCCTCCATGTTGCATCTGTCTCCTTCACTCAGTCTCTCTCCTGCAATCACCCTGGGTGTGAGGAAGGACAGGACTAACTGATAACATCTGTACCACAGAAACTGTCCCTGAGGACAGGAATGGAAAGCCTCCACAGGACAGGTCACCTGTCCTGAGACAATGAGCTACTAACCACCTATGACCGTTTGATAATTACACATTCTAGCTCGATTTCAATCTAAAGCAGGGAGATGGGCGAAATGCTACCTTGACTCTTCCCCCGGCATGCCTGTGTCCCGCTAATTAAACCTCCTGTCTGTGACCCCCACCATTACCTGTCTCTCCTGTGGCACAGCAGGGTAAGTGGCTGCACCTGACCTCTGGAGCTGAGGAATTTGGGCCTGTAACAAGACAGACAGACACAGCAGCCAATTGGGCTGTGTCTAGTCACTTTCACTTCCTGTGTGCCAGTTCCTTTTCTGTGCCTGTAAACATAACCTGCCATGTGATGGGGTGGGTTGTAGTGCTTTGGTTGGGACTGCTGCCCAATGGTAGAATCACAAAGCTAATTAAGATCTGCAAAGCTAGGTTGAGATGATTTTGTCTTTTAATAGTTTGGACTTATTAACTACAAGCAAATATAAACATTAAGTGAAATCACACTAAATATTTAACTCACATGCAAAACAGGGGCCTAGAAGGAAAAGGGATTGACAGAATCTAACCTGAAAGGGAGGGATATCTGTAATTTCTCCTACATGTCTGTCCAGTCCCCTACTGCAAAATTATGACAGTAAGAAGCATGAGTTACAAGGCACTCGGTGATTCTCTTTGTGGGTAAGTCGATGTGACTCACTAAGTCACAGGAGGGGACTGGTGACAGACAAACATCTCGGACATTCTGGAGGACTATCACAGGGACAGAAACTCTCCTACTTAAGAGGAAGGGATGTGAGGAGAAAGGAAACAGGAAGCCCACTAGCTCAGCACTGCATTTATGGGCCGTAAAGATGACAGCCAGGGTAGTGCTATTTACCCAATGCCCCGCGCCCCCTTACGCTGTGCCGTCCATTTTTACTTGGAGAGAATCAAGCTGTCACTCAAAGCTGGGTCCTTTGTAGTAGTCAAGGAGAGTGGTGACAGTGACACGGATGTGGGGCCCCAGCTCTCCCGAAGGGTCACCGGCTAGGCGTTGAGCTTGGTTGAGAGTGTCAGTTCCATGACTGCTCTTGGTAAGCGCCTTTCGATGATTCTCCCTTTTTAGATGATCAAGGCTGTCATGGCCAAGCCACATGGCCACCGACAGACAGACACCATCCTTCCCGTGTGCCCAGCTTCCTCAACTGGGAGCTGTCAATCAGAGACGATGGGCTCAATTGTCCTCGTGGCAGCCCAGCCATTCTGCACACTTCACAGATGCTCCAAGGAAACGCCACTCCAGCTGCAAAGACCACTACAAGCATGGCTACTGCTGAAGCCAGGACTTCTGAGTCAGAGGCCTGCTCCAGGCATGGCTGCTCCAGACCCGCTCGTGGCCATGGGAGACTTCGCCTTGGTCACTCCAGGCCTTAGTGACCTTCCAGTGACCCTGCCCATCTTGCGTCTATTCACAGGAGGTTGCGTGGTGGGCGGAGGTGAGGAGCACTTCCGGTAATGACTCAGCAAAACGATGGCGATTGGTGCTCATTCTAGGCTCATGATTGGTGGACTCAGAAGCTGGGCACAAGCGAGGCTGTGATTGGAAGCTGTGTGTGTGTGTGTGTGTGTGTGTGTGTGTGTGTGTGTGTGTGGCATGCCACGCCACGCCCCCTTTCTAGCCCTATAAAAGGCTTATTTCTCCGTCTCTTTGGGTCGATCTGGAAGGCTTCCCTCCTGTGTGACCTCCCTCCAGTACCCCCAGCCCTGTGGCCTTCATCGTGGGTAGAGTGGGATGGGCTGGTTGCACAAAGAGCAGACCAAACCCCGGGGCTTCCAGCCTCAGCAGGGGCAGCGGCAGCAGTGGCTAAAAATCTCCAGAGAGGCTGGGAGCAGACAGCCGCGGAGCTGAGACTGGAGGATGAGAGGCTGTGAGGGGCCGGAGGCCGAGCCAAGCGTCCTGAGACCGGGAGCGCGGGAGCTGCTGCTGGACCACTGGCCCCAAAGCCCAGACCAATAAGTCTCTGAACTGAGCTATAAGCCCCTGGCTTTGAAAGCCCAGAGCATGCTCTGATCTGAGCTGTAAGTGTCTGGTTTTCTTTTGTTGTGCTTTTTAAAAAAATTTCATGATGCTAGGGTTTGAAATCAGGGCCTTGCTATTGCTATGCAAGTGCTGTATCACACCCTTAGCCCTTTTTGCTTTAGATATTTTTCAGATAGGGTCTCACACTTTGCTTAGGTGAGCTTGGACCATGATCCTCCTACCTATGTATCCTTTATGGCTGGGATTACAGATGTGCACCACCACACCAGGCTTGTTTGTTGAGGTGTGGTCTTGCTAACTTTTTGCCAAGGCTGGCCTTGAATTGCTGTCTCCCCCATGTCCATCTCCGAGTAGGTAGGGCTGTAGGGGTAACTATCTGGCCTTTAAAGCGTGGAGCCATAGGCTCTAGTTCTCAGGACCTAGCACTGTAAGCCTCGGGGTCTGAAAGCCCAGCCTGGCAAGCTCTGGACCTGTGTAAAAGCAGTGGCACGCATCTGGAGCTGTTGACAGTTTCCATCTGATGGAGGAGCAGTGTTTTGTGACTAGCACGCAGTGTTTGTGACAGTGCATCTGT